TTTAGAAATACCCCGCAAGTACCCAGTACCCCGAGATCCTTTTAAGCTTTAATGACATGGAGTGGCCCTCTAATTTAGTGGATTCTGACCCAAAGTTATTAGCATCTTTGAAGAACTTACTAGTACTTCAATTTCACCTGCGGGGCTCCTCTGTCACTTACTGAGTCTGAACTCCCTGACTTGAGCACCCAGACCCCGATGAAACTCCTGGGGATTCTGAGCTCACTTAGAAACTGCTGCAATTTGTAGTCTAGTAGTGAATTTTGAATGTTACAACTTTACTTTAAATTTTTCTTGTGTGTGTGTGTTAGATACGTATCAAGGTGTATGTAGAGGTGCAGTGCCCTTGGAGACCAGAATAAGGCATTAAGTTCCTTTCAACCTGTTGTTTTAAGACAGGGCATATCACTGAATCTGAAATTCACCATTTCACTAGGCTGACTGGTCAGTGAAATCTGGAATTCTCTGTCTCCACTCACCCAAATACTGGGGTAACAGGCATGTCCAGCCATGCCTGGCTTTCATAAATGGGTGCTGGAGATTTTTATTGTTGTTTTAGACAGATCTCACTATGTAACCCTGAGTGGCCTGATACTGGCTGTGTATACCAGGATAGTCTAGAACTCACAGAGATCTGCCTGACTCTGTCTCCTGAGTATTGGGATTAAAGGCATGAGCTGCCATGCCTGGGACAAATAATGTTAATTTTACATTTATTTGTGTGTGCCTGCCATGGAATTTATGTGGAGGTCAAAGGACAACCCACAGTAGCCAGTCCTGGATATTGAGCTCAGATCACTGGGCTTGGTAGCAATCTCACCAGCAAGGATACTGAGAATTTAAACTCAGGTCTGCATGCATACACAGCAAGCACTCTTACCCACTGAGACATCTTCCTAACTTCACAACCTTCCTCTTGAAAGATGATATAGCAGGGAGAGAAGGTTCAGAAAATAAGAAAGACCAAAGTACCAGAAAAAAAAACATACTAGGCCGGTATCTGAAAGAAAAAAGACTGGGGATTTGGGGGAGAAAGAAAAGTTACACCTTTTAGGCAGACCTTATAGACCCTATGGTAGCTTGTAGAGATCACCTCTCTTGGCTTCCTTCCTTCCTTCCTTTCTTCCTCATATACCACTGAGCTACACCCTAGCCTGCTATACTTCTTGAGACAAGATTTCACTGAGATGCCAGCTTGGCTTTGAACTTACTTTGTAGCCAAGACTGTGAACTTGTACTCCTCCTGCCTCAGTCTCTGGAAAAGCTGGACTTGCATGCTTATGCTTATATCACTACCAGACCTGCTTTGACTGGTTTGTTATGTTTGCTTTCATATTTTTAAAGATTCAATGTTTTATTTATATGTATGTAGCATATGCCTGCATGAGTTTATATGCACTACATGTATACAGGTGTCCTTGGAGGTCTGAAGGTGTTGGATCCCTTGACACTAGAATTATAGGCAGTTGTGAGAAGGCTGGTGTGAGTGCTGTGAATGAAACCTGAGTCCTCTGCAAGGTCAGCAAGTGTTGAGCCATTTCTACAGCCCCTCATTTTGTTTTGTTTTGTTTTGTTTTGTTTTGTTTTGTTTTGTTTTGTTTTGAGAGAGGTTTCATATTTAACCCTGGCTAGCCTGGAAATCTTTTGTAGATCAGCCTGGCCTTGAACTCACGAAGATTATCAGCCTGTCCCTGGAGTATTGGGATTTAAGGCTCATACCACCTCAACTAGCTTATTCTTTCCTTTTAAAAAACAAACATTCCTTGCATGTGTGAGTAAGTGTAGGTGCCTGTGTGCTGTGGCTCTCGAGTAGAAGGCAGAGGACAACTGGCATGAGTCAGTTCTCCCAGCTGGAGATGGAAACAGAGTGTCAAGCTTGGTGACAAGGGCCTTTAACTTGCTGGGCCATCTGACTGGTCACTTTCTTCTTTTGGACTCAGGGCCCCATGTATTCCAGGCTGCTTTTGAACTCACTATATATTAAAAAATTACTTTGAATTAATTGTCCTTAGTCTTTCTCCAAAGTGCTGGGATTACGAGCATGTCCTGGCTTCTTCTGGTGTGTATGTGCATGTGTGTGTATGTATGAGACTCACTCTATAGTCCAGGCTGGTCTCAAATTTGTGTCAAATCTCCTGGTGCAGCTTTCTGAGTTCTGTAGTTATTGTCTCTTGTTGCCCAGACTGGCCTCAAATTCACTTTATAGCTACAGCTGCTCTTGGACTCCTGGTCCTTCAGCCTCTGCCTTCTGAGTACTGGAATATTAGCTGTTGCCACATCCAGCTCTCAACCCATGCTGTTTGAGAACCTACTGTACTTTAGGATCTGCATTAGCCTACTCTTGAACAAAAGACCCAAGGGACTTTCTCTATTTTGAGAAACAAGCATATGTAGAATTAAGGAACTCAACACAGGAGAAATGAAAATCCTGAAACAAGACTCCTCATGTACTGCAATACAGAGAAAAGCCCTTTGCTGTCCTCCAATAACAGGTCAGTCTTCACGGAGACTGCCCTGTCTTTCCAAAATCTCACATATCACTTAGATTGGTCCCAAAGAAATGAAGAATCAATATTGTGACATGTGGGAAAAGGGAAAAACAAGGTGACCTTTGGACTAGCAGCCAAGCTTCAAAGAAACTAGTTGATCTGTGGGAGGGTCTGGAATAATAAGAGCTTGGACCATTGACCTTTACAAGACAGGGATGGGGGACTGCAAAGAGAGGCCAAAACCCAACTCTGTCCCCTGCAGCTGGCCACACAGCAGGAAATTGCCTAAGCTAGGATTTGAGGTGTTCTTTCCTTATGTGTTCCTGGTTGGCGTGGAAGTCGCTGTGTAGTCCAGGATGGCCTTAAATTTACAATGATTCTCCTGCCTGTCTGCCTTCTGAGTGCTGAGAGATTAAGGTATGTGCCATCATGCTGGGCTCAGACTGGGTTTTGATTTTGGATCTGATCTAAGTCTCTTCTGCCTCTTTATTTTCCATGTGCATTGGCGTTGGTGTTTTGCTTGTCTGAAACTGTTGGGTCCTCTGGAACTGGAATTACAGATAGTTGCCTTGTGGTGCTGGGGTGTGAACCTCGATTCTCTGGGAAGAGCAGTCCTGGAACTCGCTTTGTAGAACATGCTGGCCGTGAAATCAGAGTTGTTAACTCTGTCTCCCAAGTGCTGAGGCTACAGGTGTGTGCCACCACGCCCGCTGCTGCTCTGTCTCTTTAGAAGCGGTTCCCCATACGTTTTTTTTTTTTTTTCTTTTGTGCTCCTGGGTTGTGTCGCCTGCTTCCCGAAATCTCCAAGTTTCCACTTCTGCATCTCCAGGTTTTGGTCCAGGGCTGCTTACCAGGCGCGGGGACCCACCCAGGAGACTCTGTTGGTGCTCAGGCCTCGCGGAAAACCGACGGTGGTAGTAAATTTCACTTTCCAGCGCTCTGTTAAGGCTGGTGGGTAGGGGAAAGATGCTTTGGCGGTGGCTGTGGATACTGGGAAGGAACCGCCCCGCCTGTCATTCAGGCAAGCCAGCAGGAATTACGTTTACCCGAGCATCCGTGCAGTGCATTGGGCCAACGCGGATCGGAGAGGCGGGGCTTCCGGCGATATGGGTTGTCACTGTGCAGACCGGCTTCAGGCCACACGGGTGATCCCGATTGGTGCATGAAGGGCCTGGCCCACTCTGCACTCTCCAGGAGGTTCTGGGGACCCAAGACTAGGGCAAGTGAGAACGGTACTCCCGGTTGCCCGATTCGAGCCGTGGCTCAGCACACGTCGGCACTGCAAGCCGGCGGCCCTGCTTCTTAGCCTGTTTCCCCTGTTGTCTCATAGGCGGCAGTTGAGACCGTTAGGGTTGTGCCGAAGCCACGCACTCTCCATCCCCCAGCCGCAGGCGCCAGCAGTCCTCTGGGCGTACAACGCCCTTCTCTGACCGGGAAACTGAGGCCCAGGCGGGCTGGACGAGGCCGTGGGCGGGGACGGGCTATGCCCAGGTCTCCCGCCCGTCGTGCCCCGCCCCCACTGCAGATTCCGGTGGCGGCAACCTGGCCGCTGACAGATCCGGCGCGGGTGAGTGTAGGGATCCTTCCATGGACCCATCAGGTGTCCTGGCTTGCCCTCTTACTGTACTGTGGGGAGGGACCCAGTTGCTTCCAACATCATAGTCCAGGTAAGTGAGGCCAGTCGGTGTGGAAGCCTCACTTGTGACAGCCAAGGGGGTAAGGTCTGGGAGAAAGTTAAAGAAAAGCATCAACATGTGTAAAAGCCAAGGCGAGACTTTTATATTTTGAGGGCAACCCCACCCCCACCCCTTTCTCTCTCTCTCTCTCTCTCTCTCTCTCTCTCTCTCTCTCTCTCTCTCGGCTGGCCTCAAATTAGATATGTAGCCAAGAAATGGCCTTGAATTTCTGGTCCCTCTGCTTCCCTAGTGCTAGATTTTCAGGCATGCCCCATCACACTTAGTTTATTCGGTACCAGAGATGGAACCCAAGACTTTGTGCATACCATGCAAACACTACAGACTGAGCTACTTCCCAGCCTGGAACTTAGCAATTTAGATGTGGAATGAACAAGAAAGGGAGGTCTTGTGTGTTTGAAATAGCAGGCAGAGGAGTTGGGACTGTGTCCCAAAGGCATTGGAAAACACGGAGTGCTTTAAACACAAACAGGACAGTTTCCTACTTAAGATTTTTAAAAAATGATTTTTTAAATTTTTATGTGCATTTGTGGATATATGTATATGAGTGTTGGATCCCCTGGCGCTTTGTGATAGGCACTTGTGAGTCATCTAATGTGGACACTGGGAGCTGCATTCATGCCCTTTGAAAGAGTAGCACAGCCGGGCAGTGGTGGCACGTTCCTTTAATCCCAGCACTTGGGAGGCAGAGGCAGGTGGATTTCTGAGTTCGAGGCCAGCTTGGTCTACAGAGTGAGTTCCAAAACAGCCAGGCTTACACAGAGAAACCCTGTCTTGAAAAACCAAAAAAAGAAAAAAAAAAAAAGAATAGCACATACTCTTAACCACTGAGCCATATCTCTAACCCCAGGTTGTTTGGGGGGGGGTTGTTTTGAAAGACAGTCTCACGATGTAGATCTAGCTGGTCTACAACTTGATATGTAGGAGCCTTGAGACAGGGTCCCACTATGTAACCATGGCTGTGCTGGAAATGTACAATTAGACCAGGCTGTTCTTGAACTCACAGAGATCCACTTGGTTCTGCCTTCTGAGTGTTGGGATGAAAGGCACGTACCACCTCCCTCCCTCACCCCAATTAAGATTTTAAAAACATCTTTTCTTTTTCTGAGTGTAGAACAGACATGGAGGAAGTATCATTATGTAGAACAGACAGAGCCTTTGGTCCATGTGAATGATGGTGGTCCCTGGACGATATTAGTTATGGGAGTGGTTGAAGTGGCTGAATTATGAGCAGATCTGCTGATGCCATCAGTTTTGTGTGAAGAACTCTCTCGTTTGTCAGCTTGAGCACCTTCGAGGATGGAACTACTGTAGACACGGGAAAGACCAGGTGTGTGTGATATCCCAGAGTGGGATGACTTGATGGGCCTGAAGTGACAGATGTCCAGTTAATTGATCCTAGTGTTTTGAGCCAGGACCTGGGAAGTAAAGAGGGATAGTAGTATACTGGCTGGTTGCTGGTTTTGTGTGTCAACTTGACACAAGCTAGAGTCATTAGAGAGGAAGTTAGCCTCCATGAGATTTAACTATAAGGCATTTTCTCAATTAGTGACCAATGCGAGGGAGGCCCAGCCCATGGTGGGTGGTGCCATCCTTGAGCTGGTGGTCCTGGGTTCTATAAGAAAGCAGGCTGAGCAAGCCATGTGAAACAAGCTGGTAAGCAGCACCCCTCCATGGCCTCTGCATCAGCTCCTGCCTACAGGATCCTGCCCAGTTGGGAGTTCCTGTCTTGACTTCCTCCAGGGGTGGACTGTGATCTGGAAGTGTAAGCAGAATAAACCTGTTCCTCCCCAACTTGCTTTTTGGTCATGATGTCTCATCAATACGAAGACAGATAGTTTCACAGACTTGTTTAAGGTTGGTCGCTTAGGATTTGAGAGCTGTGAGGAAAGGCTTGTGATGCCTATGACTGTGAGGGGAAGAGTCCAACAGGTGGCTGAGCAAGGGGAGGAGTTGTTTAAAAGCAGAAAGGAAACGGAGCATTGGTATGGAGGTAAGAAGGATTGATTTTCTGTATGTCTCTACCAGGTTGATGAGGCCACTCCCACCTCCCACTCCAACACCCCCACATCCATAACAGTAACAGTAACTGAGATTGTCTATGTATTCCAACGGCCATTTTAAAAAAAATGGTGTTTTTGAGACAGTTTCTCGACATAGCTCTGGCTGTCCCGGAACTCACTATGTAGACCAGGCTGGCCTCCAACTCATAGACATATGCCTGCCTCTGTCTTCTCAATCAGTACTACAAAGAAGGAAGAAAAGTGTCTGCGAAGCATCCCCATTAGGATAGGAAACTGGTTCCTCCTCACATAGCCATAGCATAGATGATCTTATTCTTTTTTTTTTTTTTGGTTTGGTTTTTCGAGACAGGGTTTCTCTGTGTAGCCCTGGCTGTCCTGGACTCACTTTGTAGACCAGGCTAGCCTCCAACTCTTGAACTCAGAAATCCGCCTGCCTCTGTCTCCCAAGTGCTGGGATTAAAGGCATGTGCCACCACCGCCCGGCTGACGATCTTATTCTTGCTGTTGTAGGGCTTGATGACCTTTGAGGACGTGGCTGTGTACTTCTCCCAGGAGGAGTGGATGTTCCTGGATGCAGCCCAGAGGGCCCTGTACCGTCATGTAATGCTGGAAAACTTCGCACTTGTGGACTCCATAGGTAAAGTCCTGAGTTGAGTGCTCCATTGGAAGCAAAGCTGGGACCAGATATAGCAGCCAGCTGAGCACACCAGGTCTGGGAGCCATTACAACTGTCCCCTCACTCCCTAGGTATTTATGCGTATGTCCCTCTATCCATGGGCATGTGAGAGGAAGGTTGGGGCCCTGGACACATGTAGTCTGATAAACTTAACCATTTCCTGTATCCCCGGGGTGCTGGCTGGCTACATTCTTCTGTGCCCGAGTTCTAGCACCTTCCTTTGGAGCGGCTGATCCAGTGGTTCCTTGTGGGAACTCTGGGCCTGTGACCTCCTGTATGGTATGACCTTTGGGGTTTTGGGTGTGTTAATTGCATGGTTGATATCCGAAACATCCCACATCCTGCCCTCGGTTGGGGCTGGACTGTCCTGAGCTGGGGCTGGCCTCACACGCTCCTTCTCCCTTCCCAGGACCCTCTGTCTCCCGGCCTCGTGTGATCATCCAGCTCCAGCGTGGTGAGGAGCCCTGGGTTCCCAACAGGACAAATACAGGCCCAGGCAGGGGTACCCACAAGAGAGCCAGCCTTGGTGAGTTGGGCTTCACCTAGGGTGTACTCAGGGCCAACCTGAGCTACTACATTCTCTATTTCCTGGTATTATGGACACCTTCCTTTCCTGTCTAGAGACAGCTCCCTTTCCTTTCTGAATCTTTTTCCTCATCATGGGGCCTTTCCTGCCCCTAAAGGAAAAACTTGAAGGGCACAGGTGCTGTGTCAGTGCAGGAAACTACTCCTTTTGAGCCATACGCACATACTCGCCCACCAGCTATGCTGTGTGGCTTCGCTTCCCTCATTGAGCTGTCACATTTGTAGGGTCATTCCTTCTTCCCGGCTGTCGTTTGAACACTCCTCCTGGTCGGTCTGTTCCTGGCACTGTGCACACTGTGCTCAGGACACTGCTGAGTAGTGTAGGGAGGATGCCAGGGAAAAGCAGTCTGCCACAGGATTGATAAATAGTGCATAGAGTATTTATCAATAGGGGACGAACCCAAAGAGAGCAGGTTAGGGAGCAAGGCCTGAGAGAAAGGTTCCAGGACAGATCCTTCCTTACCAACTTCTCCCAGGGCCAGCCTACACTTCTGGTTTTTTGTTTGTTTGTTTTTCTTCACACACCCTTTTACACTCAGTTCATTGGGTCCCCTTCACTGCCCAGGCTATGTGTGGTGTCCAGCAACTGATGGTCTGCCGTGGTCACTTCCTGACCAGATGACCCAGGTAACTTTACTTTTCCTCTACCTTCAGGGTCAAATTACAGTGCAAGAGACAGACATGCTTCTGGAGCACCTCCAGGGGCCACCTGTGACAGGCCTGATAGGATACCTACTAGCCTCCTTCCTCCTGCTGGTGCCTATCCTGATGCAAAAATTCTAGAGGGACACCAAAGTGCCTGCCCATCTCTACAGAGAAAACCCACAGGGGTATCAGTGATTTACTGGGAGCAGCTACTGCTAGGTTCCAGCAGCAGTGAGGCAACGGTCAGTCTGCGACTGACCTCCCCAGTAGGGGTGCCTGAAAACGGTTCATCCCAAGTGAAGGTCTTCTCTGACTTCCTGGCCCCAGGGAAGCAGCCACCGATAGCAGAGCAGCAAAAGCCAGAGATGCAGCTAACCCCTGGGAGAACTTGCCAAAGCATCCCAGATCTCCATGGAGCTGAGGAAGGATGTGGGATGAATGGGGCTTGGCATGAGTCTCAGGAAGACCCCAGTGTTCCAGAGGCCCCAATATGGGATGATCTGGGAGAGGCCCTCCAGGCCAGCCCAGGTCTTCTCTCTGGGGACAAATCTTTCGAATGTAGGGCGTGCAACAAAGTGTTCGTGAAGAGCTCAGACCTCCTCAAGCATCTGCGCACTCATACTGGAGAGCGGCCATATGAGTGCGCCCAGTGCGGCAAGGCCTTCAGTCAGACATCCCACCTGACTCAGCACCAGCGCATCCATAGCGGTGAGACGCCCTACGTGTGCATGGTGTGCAGCAAGGCCTTCCGACACAGCTCCTCACTGGTGCGCCATCAGCGCATCCACACGGTCGAGAAGTCATTCCACTGCAACGAGTGTGGCAAGGCCTTCAGCCACGGCTCCAACCTCAGCCAGCACCGAAAAATCCATGCTGGAGGGCGGCCCTATGCCTGCGCACAGTGCGGCCGCCGCTTCTGCCGCAACTCGCATCTTATCCAGCACGAGCGCACGCACACCGGCGAGAAGCCCTATGCCTGCTCCCTCTGTGGCGCGACCTTTAGTCAAGGCTCCTCGCTCTTTAAGCACCAGCGCGTGCACACTGGAGAGAAGCCTTTCTCTTGTCCACAGTGTGGCCGCGCCTTCAGCCACAGCTCCAACCTCACACAGCATCTGCTGCTGCACACTGGCGAACGGCCCTTCCGCTGCGGCGACTGTGGCAAGGCCTTTGCCAAGGGTGCAGTGTTGCTCAGTCACAGGCGCATCCACACGGGTGAGAAGCCCTTCGTGTGCACGCAGTGTGGCCGCGCTTTCCGAGAGCGCCCTGCCCTCTTCCATCACCAAAGGATCCACACAGGAGAGAAGGCCCTGCGGAGGCCCAGGGGCAGCGTGAACTCCCAAGCCAGGTCTCTTGGGGCATCCTTAGATGGTGCACCTCCAAAGGCCACTTCTACCTTAGACCCACCAGCAGTCCCAAAGATAGCTGAGGCCTAAGGTCACAGCTGTGCCGTTCTCTGAAATCCCTTTCACTCACTATGGAAGAGCCTGTGTTCTCAACAAATCCACTGTTATGTGAGCCAGGTATAAGGAAGACCTGCCAGTCAGTTCCATTTACAGGTGTATCCTGAACTGCACTGGAGAGGAGTCTATAGAATGCATGTACCCCCTGGGATTGGTGGGGTGGGCAGCGACTGCCCCCACAACTAGTGGGTGACCCACAGACTTTGATCTTCATGTTGATGCCACTTGAGTATTTCCTGACTGTGGCTATGAAAACAGGAAGAGAGCCCGCAATAGGCGAGAGAGCTCTCAAACTGGCAGCTGGAGATACAGCCCCGGTGCATTCCATTTCCTTGGTGCAAGCCTCAGGCAAATAAATGGTTTGTTTCTGAACCTCAGCTTTCTGCTCTGGGAAATGAGGGAAGGAGATCTGGACCAGTGGAGGGTGATGCTAGAAAATACTCTAGCAGCTGGATATAGTGACACATGCCTTTAAACCCAGGGTTTAGGACACAGAGGCAGGCGTGTCTCTTGTGAGTTTAAGGCCAGCCTGGTCTACATAGTGAGTTCCAGGTCCCAACTAGAGTTACACAGTGAAGCCCTGTCTAAAAAAAAAATGTAAATGTTCTGATAGGCTCCAAATAAAGTCCAAGTAAACTCACAGCCAGCCATGTGCTAGGTGCTGCCCAGTAGTCAGCTTGTGAGCCTTGTATTGGTATCTCTGAATGCCAGGATTTAAAAGTTAAAACATATATACTGTAATATCTTACCTAGATATGAAAGTCCATGTCTCTTGACTCCAGGACATGCCTCCTGGTTTTGTTTTTTGTTTTTTTGTTTTTTTGCAGTTGTTTATAGTTCATAATTATATGTGTGGATGCATGTATGTAAGGGCATGCATACTTGTGGAAGTCAAAGGACAATGTTCAGGAATCAGTTTTCTCCTTCCACCATATGGGTGCTGGGGATGGAACTCAAGTTGTAATGCTTCATGGCACATGCTTTTCACCACTGAGCCATCTTCTTGGCCCTGATGTTGTTTTGAGACAGGGTCTCATGTAACCCAGGTTAGCCTCGAACTGTCTCTGTGGCCAAGGCTGGCCTTGAACTTCTGTTTTCCTGCCTTTACTTCCTGAGTGCTGAGACGATAGGCATACAACCCCATGCCAGGTTTATTCGATGCTGGAGATTAAACATCGTGCCTGCTTAGTAAGCACTCCACCAACTGAACTGTGTCCTTCTACCTCAGTTATGGGTTTTCATTAGTTCAAAGAACTAGGCTTGGTGTGGCACGCCTGGACTCTCCACACTTAGGAGACAGAGGCAGAGGAGGCAATTCAAGGATAGTTTGAGGCCTTGTGTTTTGTTTTGAGACAGGGTTTCTCTGTGGAGCCCTGATCATCCCGGAACAGGATGTAGCTGTATAGACCAGGCTGGCCTTGAAGTCAAAGAAATCCACCTGCCTCTGCCTCCCAAGGACTGGGATGAAAGGCGTACTCCATCACAGCCCAGCATTGAACTCCCTATCTTCAAAAGAAAAAACTGAGTTGAGATACACCCGTGTGAACAATACTACTTGTTTTACCTTAAAACAAAGCAGACAGTATTAAATGGATGTACACGGACATGCCATTAGAGTGAGCACAGAGGATTTGGCTTGAATCTGGGTTCTCAGGCCATAGGGCAGAGACGCAGCTTATCTGCAGCCCAGTGTAGGACGGAGTCATCTGGATGCCTTGGTGGCCACAGGTAGGTGGGGGAAGCCAGGAGATCTGGGACAAGTGGAGCAGCAGTTCTGTTGAAAGTTGAGGCTTTGTGGATCAGGCTATGGGAGGGAGGAGGTGGGAAGAACAGGGCAGTGCTGTGACTGTGTCTGCTGTTGGATGAGTACGTGTGCAAAGTTGAGGCCAGCCCTTTGGGAACTCCAGTCCTGTCACCTGGAGGTACAGTGGTGCAGACCCTAGCACTTTGGGAGGCTGAGACAGGAGGATCTGGAGTTAACCCTCCAGATCAGTGTGGGGCTACTGAGACAGTTTGGAGGACAAAAAAGAAATAAGGTCAGATGTATTGATGGACACCTTTAATCCCAGCACCTGAGAGACAGAGACAAGCAGGTCTATATAGCAATTGGGGGGGTCCATAGTTGAGACCTTGTAGTGGGTAGGCCCACTGTCAGCTCCTCCTATGTAATGCCAGGAAGACCCAGGACCAAAGACATGTTGAGCGAATGAGTTCTCCAACAGTCCCCAACAGGTTTCCCCAAGGAAACTTGAAGCAGATGTCCTGAGCCTTCCTGGCCCCACAGACTGGAATCAATGCCATCTTCTCTTCCTCACCAGCCTCCTCTGCTTGTGAGCTGACTGCTTTTTTTTTTTTTTTTTTTAACCTCCACCCTCCTCGAATCTACCTCTTCCAATATCCAGAACTGGTCTGTGCTCCCCTATGTGTAGTCTTCTCCAGAAACTTCATAGTGGGCTGGCCCCTCTTAACAGGCTGCGCCTGGAAAAATGTCCTTGGGCTTTATAAGTCAAAATGTTAAACCAGCTAAGCTTGGTAGCACCTGCCTATATTCTCAAAACTGGGAAAACTGAAGCTGGAGGTTATAGAAACCATGTCTTAAAACAACCCCCATTCCCCCAAAACCAGACAAACATAGGCACCAAACTCCACACTTAGCTCTACAGGTGACCACGATGCACCACACTCCATACTTCACTCCTGTAAGTCTAGAGGTGAAGACGGGGAGGCCCGTAACATACATGACAATGACACTTGGAAACTAGGAGATGAGTCAACCCACATTCAAGGGAAATCAAATACTGAGCTGACACTGGGGTCTCTGTCTCATGATTTTCCTGGGCAGCCATAAACCTACATTCCAAATGGAGAGAAAGGACAACGACTCCTTTTTTTGTTTTGTTTTGTTTTGTTTTTCGAGACAGGGTTTCTCTGTGTAGCCCTGGCTGTCCTGGAACTCACTCTGTAGACCAGGCTGGCCTCAAACTCAGAAATCCACCTGCCTCTGCCTCCCAAGTGCTGGGATTAAAGGCGTGCGCCACCTCCGCCTGGCAGGATAAAGACTCCTAAGTCGTGCTTGGTAAATGAGTTTGTTGGGGTTACAAGTGTAAGCCCTTTGAGGAGTGAGGGTGGCCAAGCTCTGCCCACAAAACACTCAGACGGCCCTAATGGCCAGATACATGGGGTCCAAGTTCCTCCCTACAGAGTAAAAAGCCCAAGCTCAGGACGTGAAAACTCACCAGACCCCCAAAGAAACTCTATATACCCTGTTTTCTGCTCAGCTCTCTGCTGCTTCTCACCTGAGCAGAGGCAACCACTTGAGTTTTTCCCTCCCAATAAATCTCTTGTCTGAGGTTTGTTGTGTGCTGTGACTCTGTGGTATTCCATGGCTCCCAACTTCCAGGATACTTTTCCCTTCAGAACTGTAACACTGCCGTTGGGGAAGGCTCTTCCACCGAAATGTAACATTTACAAGAACACGAGTGACTGAAGAATCCCAACCCTAATCAATTAATTAATCCCAACCCTAATCAATTTCTTACCTTAAAATTTATCATTTCTAGGATCACACACAGTTGGACAGGAAGGACTGGTGACCAAAATGTCTCCCAACCCCAGGAGGAAACATGAACACCCCAGTATCATAGACCTAGCTATCTGCTGTGTAATTTCTATTTCATTATCCTAAGAGCCAGGTCAGTAGGTCACCACAGGCCCTCTTTAAGTTGGCTGAGAGGCTAACCTGGGGGAACTTAGCTCCTGCCTCAAAAAAAAAAATTTTTTTTATGGTTACATTGGCCAACCCAATATAACCATAGTAATTAAGGATTGCGTTGGGGCCAGCTCAATGATAGTTTACCTATTAAATATGTGGTCCTAGATGTAATGTCCAGTACCAGGGAGAAATAAAGATGGTAATGGCCATGTCAAGCCCAGGGATAAGAAGTATGCCATCCCAAGATTCAACCAGGTCTACCCTGTGGCACATAAGAAGACTTAGAAATCAGCCGATCAGGGAGGAGAGCACTAGAACAAAGATGTTTCCAGGAGAGAGCTCCCTGGGAACTCCCTGAAAGCTCAGCTTCTTCTCAATAGGTAGGTGATGAGAGGTGTGTCCAGACAATATATAAAAGACAAACTACCGACATAACTGCTCAGGAGTTTTGGATGTAGAGAACTGCTGCTCTCTGACAGCAGCTGCCAAGGTGGAGGTTCCCAGAAATTAGAAGAAACCAGAGTAGGCAGATCCAGTTCAGGATTGAATGGTTTATATCATGGTCCACTTGATATGTGGAAATAAAACCCCATCTGCAATTAAATTAAAAAGCCTCTAACTGTCGGGTCTGGTGGCCCATGCCTTTAATCTCAGCAAACCGGAGACAGAGGCTGGCGGAATTATTGAGTGAGCTCCAGGCTAGCTAGCATGGTCTACAGAGTGAGTTCCAGGCCAGCCAGGGCCTTTTTTTTTTTTTTTCTCCTCTAAAGGCCCTGTTCCCACAAACAAACAAACAAGCAAGCAAGCAAAATGCCATCAACTACCTATTGGGAAGAAAAATAAATATAAGTCACCTTGTTTAACTACATCCTCCAAAGTAAGGGTTGAGTATACCTCATAATCTCACAAAGAAACATCCATCCTTATTTTTTAGTACTGTTATCTGAAGACTATTAGTGAGGGGGTAATTACATGGTGACCTCCTCTGAGCGCTTGCTCATCCATGGGCCTACTGTTCCCACAATATCCAGGGAGCTTAACGGAGATCCGACGGAGGCCATACTGGGTCTTTCCCGCCCAACACTGCCTCCCACCGGGATTCCCACCGGGATTGTCTGGAACAGTCTGGGATGCCGCCTGGACTCAAAGAGGCCAAGGAACCTCCACCTAGGCCTCCTCCAAGGCCGGGCGACCCTGACAGCGTAACTCATCTGTTACCTAGGAGACACATGGAGCGAGACGCCTTCGGGGAGCGCCAGCTCTGATTGGTCAGGACACCTCACTGGCCAATTGAAACCAGGTCCGCAGCGCACATGCGTAAGGAGGCTAACCCGCATTCCGGTCAGCAGAACGTGAGTCCTACGGCTGAGGTTGCAAGAGAAGAACGGCTGCCAAGTCAGGAGAGGGAACCCCTCGGAACTCTGCGGCAGTGCGACTCCAAGGAAAGGAACGAAGAGCCTCGCGCGTGAGAGGGCCTGGCAGCTTGCAGTCGTCCTTGCTGAGGCTCACGGGAGACGTAGTCCAAGCGGAGGGGGGGCCGTTCCTGAGAAGCAGAAGCTGGATTGGCCAGGCTGGTAGGGAACGTCCGAGGCGGGGCGTTCTGTGAGTGGCATTCGGACGTGCTCGGTGTCACTTCCTGGAAGTGCCCCAAGCTCCTGGGGCTCCCCCACGCGTCAGAGGTGAGCGCACTCCTAGCTGGGCAGGCGCAGCTTTAAAATCCTGCTCCTCAGATCACCGAGCGCGCCTCCTAGCCATCGAACCCACCCTTTTCCTGTGTCAGAGCCGGGTACTCCAGCTCTGAGTTTCTCCTGAACAGGACAGATGTCCCAGGAGAGCCAATTTCAATCCAGAACCTCTTAAGAGCTGGGACACAGGTTCCAGTTTACGACTCCACAAAAAAACGGGGCTGTTTGATTTGGCTTTTGTTTCGGGGTTTCAAATGTGAGGCTGAGGCATTATGAGGTATCCACAGTTCAGCTGTGGCCAGCGAGCTTTGTCTCCCAGCCCATATAAGCCCTGGGAATGCACCCAGGCTTTGAGCTCTGCTCCAGGTGATGTACTTGGGCCCCAGAGCCAACTCTTCAGCTAGCACAGTGGTCGGCCTTCTGCCTGAAGCCTCAGGACTCCAGGTCACCCTGGATGATGGTCCGACCTGGGTCAACCCTTTGTCTACTGGGGGAGCTACTTTCGTCTCCCAACAGCCCTCTGTTGTACCTAAGTGTTTGAACCAGTCATTTGCAGTTTTCTAGACGGTCCCTGGACACCTTCCACCCAGTCATTTATCTTCATGGCTTTCTCAACTGGTCCCAACTGCTGTGGGTCTGCACCTCCCATGACCTTCCTTGAAGTTCTTCTGGCCTCAAGGTTCTCTTTACCGGCTTCCAGGAGGGGTCTAGTATAAGTATTCTGACCTTAGATGGCATTCTTCCTTTTCTGTAGGTCCGTCTGTCATCTCCAAAAAGGCCCTTCAAAACAAGAATGCCATCTCCTCTGGGTACCCCATACCTATCCCTCAGAGACTCCAGGACCACCCTTGAGGAGCCTGAGGCTGCACGACTCCGTTTCCGGGGTTTCTGCTATGAGGAGGTTGAGGGACCCCGAGAGGCACTGGCCCAGCTTCGAGAGTTATGTCACCAGTGGCTGCAGCCTGAATCGTCCTCCAAAGATCAGATGATAGAGTTGCTGGTTTTGGAACAGTTCCTGGGTGTGTTGCCCCCTGAGATCCAGGCCTGGGTTCGAGGGCAGCGACCAGGGAGCCCCGAGGAGGCGGCAGCCCTTGTTGAGGAACTGCAGCATAATCCAGGGCAGCTGCTGGATTGGGTGAGTGTAATGACATTAGGTTCTTAGAGGGACAGATTGAAGGGAGAGCCCCTGTGACATGCTTCTCTTCAGATCACAGCCCACATCCTGAAGCCAAAGATGCTTCCTCTAGTCCAGAAGACAGAGTCCTCAGGGAGTCACCACATCTCAGCAGCAACAGAGTCCTCCAAGGCAGCCCCTGCGGAGGCACCACAGGACACCTGGATAGAGAGATCTACCCAGATCAATTGCAGTGTGAAGGAGGAAATCGTTGCTGACGGGCAGGAGATGGGTGAGGGGGATGCAACATCTGAACTTCAAATCCCTGGGGGTGGGGGTGGGGGTCTCGGAGTACAGTGTCCTAGGAGATGTTGTGTCAGGGCTTCAACTCCTAAAATGAGACTGGACAATCCCAGCTGAGACAGCGACTCTGGCGAGACCATAAAGCTGGATTCCTGAGAAGCAACAGCGCTGACCTCCCCCTGTCACATGGCAGAGGCAGGCCAAAGGCCAACACAGTAACAACAGCTTGATACTCCTTCCCATCTGCCTCTCTTTCTCAGAATCTCCAAGTGCCCTCCTTCCAGCCCAGGACCCTGAGGGATATCTCGAACATCAGGAAACAGCCTCTGTATCCTTCCAACCAGGAAGGATCCAGGTAAACAGCCTCTAACAGGAAATACAGGCCTTGCATGTGGGAGGTGGAGTGTCTCTGGGGGTTGTCTTCTGCCCTGTGGTTTTGTAGGATCCTCTAGCAGTGACTCATGTGTCTTTTTACTACTTCTGAGTAGTAAATACCTTCCCTCCCATCAAGTCCTAAGAGCTGAAGAATAGACAGGTAGCCTCTCATTAGAAAGGATTTAGGCCCCAGGTCCAGCATGGATAGAACTGGTGGACATGGCTTCCTCACCTCCAGAGAGGTCAGTTACTGGCAAGATTTGCAGTATACACAGGCCATGAGCCAACTGTTATGTGTACAGTTGGAGAGCGGACTGGCACTGCAGGATTCCTGCAGTCCTGATGTCAGATCAAGATACTCTTCCCAAACGTTCCTCAAATCCCTTCCACTGCTTCTTCTCAGAGTACAGTGACATGGAACCTGAGCTTAAGCTGCTACCTGAGTGTACATTGTTAATGTGGAAGGGGTAGGGGGTCTGTCCTCTCCAGGTTCTCTCTGCTTCTGAGCCTGTCCCCTCCTCAAAAGACTGTCTAGTCAGGGTGTGCTTCCGTGTTAAGAAACCCTTCTCTGATCCCTCTCCGGTGTCCTTCCCCATTCCAGAGAGTAGTACCACCTCTAGTTATAGCTGTGGCTGCTACCTCCTTTTCTTCGGATTTGCTTTGGCTTGTCCTTTGGAGTTATTTTTCTCAACCTATCAAAGACCTATATGGCAGATAGCCAGGCAAGGAATTCTTTCATTGGTAAGGCCATCATAGCTAGGCCCCTGTCTTGCCACCAAACTCCCCCTCTTCAGACCTTGCCTGAACCAGCTGCCAGCTAGCACCAAGCACCTAAGCACCTCTGCCTACTCACCTCATCACAGCCCTGAAATTCCTCCTCAACTTCTTCTTCCTCCTCCTCCTTCTCTTGTTTTTTGTTTTGTTTTGGTTTTAGGGATGTTTGTTTGTTTGTTTGTTTGGTGTGTGGGGGAGGGCAGTTCAAGACAAGGTTTCTCTGAGTAACAAACCCTGGCTGTCCTGGCTTTGTAGACCAAGGAACTCCTGAGTGTTGGGATTAAAGGTATGCTTTACCATGCCCAGCCTCATTATTCTTTTCAATCTTAGTCTTTCTCCCCATCCCACCCTGTTTTTGTTTTTGTTTTGTTCTGTCTCTCTACACAGCCCCAAATGACCTGGATCTCAGTATGTAGACCAGGCTAGCCTCTGCCTCTGAGCACGGGGATCAAAGTGTGTACCTATCTATCTCTAGCACTGCACAAACTGCTAATCCCAGAACTCAGGAGGTAGAGACTGGAAAATCAGAACTTTCAAGTTATCCTCAGCTACATGGTGCATTTGAGGCCAACCTGTGCTACATAGACCCAGTCTTTCTCACAGGTACCCCAATAAAGCCCAAAGAAAACTCTCACCCCAAGGAAGAATTTTTAGTTTTGTTAATCAGTCTTGACAGAAGGTAGCTGACTGCTCAGGCAGCCTCCAGGCCTCTTGCTGACCTTCCAGCACATCCTGTTCGTAGTGTAGTGACTAAAAGGATATGGACAGCCACTGTGTCTTTCTCCAAGACCTACCCACAATTTCTGTCCTTCTGGCCATCACGGAGACAGACCACTGAGAAGACAATGATGGTAGGTTTGACAGACAAAAGCTGACCCAGTACTCACAAAGGCCAGTTCTGGCTCAGTCCTTAGCCTGCTGCAGATGGAGATTGAGTAACCTGCCACCCACGGGGTGGTGGGTAGGGGTGTGAAGCAGCCTGGGAGAGGCAGTGACTGGTTGCATCCTTGCAGGAGTGGGGCCTGTTGGACTCATCACAAAAAGAGCTATGCTGGGATGTGGTGCCAGAGAAGTACGACACAGTGGTGTCCCAGGGTGAGGATCAATGGCCCTCCCTGTCCTATCTTCCCTGCCCCACCCTCCACACACCTCCCACATGTACTAGGCCCCCACTGGGGCTCCCAGTACAGCGGCCCAGCATCCGGCTGCATCTTTCTTCTACCAAAAGGTGCCCACCCCCATACTTCTGTGAAAGCCCCCATGTGTCCAAGACCCCAAATGAACATTCTTTCCACCCTAGCAAGCCTGCCGCTGCTACAGCCAGAGACACATGTTGACTCTGAGCTGAGACCAAAACAGGAGACACCACACAAAGGACCAGAGTCCCTCGGGAGCCATCCCCCAGAAATGGGAGCCATTGCAGATCTAAAGCTAGTTCAAGCCACTCCAAGTGAAAGACAGAGTCCTTGCAAGGACCCTCCAGGCTTGTCTCCCACACCACTGCTTGAAGTCCCAGATAGGCCCACACCTCGGAAGCTGTACGTTTGTGAGCAGTGTGGCCTCAGCTTTGACTGGAAGTCGGTTTTCATCATCCATCTCCGCACACACAGGAGTGGGCCAGGCCTGGAAAGACCATCACAGGTGACCTGGGAGCCGACCATGCGGCGCTCCCCTAGCCTTCGGGGCTATACATGCACGGAGTGTGGGCGCAGCTTCAGCTGGAAGTCACAGCTGGTCATCCACCGCAAGAGCCATGCAGGTCAGCCGCGCCACTTCTGCCGGGACTGTGGGTGTAGCTTTGACTGGAAGTTTCAGCTGGTCGTTCATAGAAAGATCCACCAGCCAGAGGGGCCATGAGCAGCTGGAGAGTCATGTCTCTGCTTGGATGCCTCCAGCCCCTAATGCACCACTTCTGGTATCCTCTCTAGCCAAGAGGAGTTTGTAAGACACCCCAAGTCAGTCAGGGATTGCAAGATTACCCTGTCTAACACCAGACTATCCAGTATAAGGAAAAGAGGCTGTTCCCTTCCTTTGGCTTCTGCTTTGTGAAAAGTTAGACAGCACATGGGTGCCTCAGACCATGCATGCCTCTGGGTGAAGGCTGCACCCCACATTGCCAATTCACCATTAAACTGGAGGACAAAGGCCCACTCCCTGATGCCCAGGGAACTATGACCCTCTGGACAGTCACTCAGGATTTTTCAGTGCATGGTGTCCTATTAACTATGCCTGTAAACTAGGTGGATCAGAACAGATTTGCTTACTAACTGTTCAAACATCAAAGCGATGAAGAATGTCTCACTAGATCAAAGACAGACTCACCCTGGGAGCTACCTGAGGCCCTTGGCTTATGACCTCTTTTTCCATCTTTAGCAGTGGGTAGTTGTTTACCTTATTGAATCATTGATTCTCTGATTTCTGCTTATGGGAGCCTTTGCAGTGTCGTGGGGCCACTTAGATATTCTAGGGTGATCACTTTAAGGGTGGAGGATGAAGTGGGAGCTTTTCTTTTGTTTGAGACAGGGTCTCCTAATACAATAGCTTCTGGCCTCTAACTGGTAATCCTCCTGTCTCAGCTTCTCCTGTGTTGAAATTATAGGCTTGTACTACCAAACCCAGGTTGGGATTTTAAATTCTCTGTATGTATGTTTAAGACAGTCTCACTTTAATGCCCTCAAACTATCTGTAGTCCTCCAACCTCAGCCCTTAGAGTGCTGGAATTAAAGTTGTGTGTCACTGGGCCAGGATAAGACTTTAAATGCTTTTAATTCTGAAATTTAGAAATACGGAGCAGGATTCAGTGCTATAGGCAGATCTCTGTTAGCTTGAGGTCAGACTGCTTTACCTAGTGTGTTCCAGGACAGACAGGGGTTACGTAGTGAGATCCTGTCTTAAATAAGAAGAGAAATAAGCAAATAAATTTTGCAAATGGGCATAGCAAAGTATCGTCTAGAAACCTGAGTTTTCAACACTGTCCATTCTTGCTCACTATTTTATTTTATTTTATTTTTTGGTTTGGTTTTTCGAGACAGGGCTTCTCTGTGTAGCCCTGGCTGTCCTGGAACTCACTCTGTAGACCAGGCTAGCCTCGAACTCAGAAATCCGCCTGCCTCTGCCTCCCAAGTGCTGGAATTAAAGACGTGCGCCACCACTGCCCGGCTTGCTCACTGATTAGGTTTGTTGTTGTTTTAGGGGTAGGGTGTGTGTGTGTGTGTGTGTGTGTGTGTGTGTGTGTGTGTATGGACGGATGGATGGATGGATGGATGGATGGATGGATGGATGTGTTTATGTACATGGAAACCAGAAGAGAGTATCAGGGTCTCCTACTTATTCAGCTCTGCTTGTTAATGTTCATCCTGGAATCCAAACTCTAGTGACAGACTTGAACTCTGGTCCTGATGATTTCACATCAAGTGCTTTTAACTGCTGAGCCATGTCTCCAGTTCATGACATCATTGAGGTGTCTGCTCCAGTCCTGAGTCCCTCCTCACTGCTTACATGTGCCTTTCTCTCATGTCCCTGTTGTAGCTGCAGCTGCTCATGAGTGGTTTGAGTTCTCGTGTGTTCCTTAGACTGCTTGCCCCTTCGTTATAATTGTCCTAAACAACTGCAGAGCAGTGTCAGTTCCTACAGCAAGTTCCAGAATCTGCTCTTCATAGGTTTTTCTGTTTCTATGTTTGTTCTTTTGGAGGGGAGCTGAGATGATCCCTCCATATAGCCCAAGCCTGTCGTCAGCTTCTCTTCATTTGATGTGCCATATCTGTGTGAGTTTGTATGCACCGTATGCATGCACAGTACCCACAGAGGTCATAAGAGAGAATAAAGTCCCCTGAGATTGGAGCTACAGGTGGTTGTGAGCTTCTAGGAGCTAAACCAAGGTTGTCTGCAGGGTCATCAAGTGCTTTTAACCACTAAGCCATTTCTCCAGCCTTTACCTTAAGTTCTTGATCCTTTTCTGTATGTAGTACTGGCCTTAAACTCACAGATGTCCACCAGTCTCTGCACCTGTGTGCTAAGATTAAAGATACGGATGGATGGATGGATGGATGGAGATATATATATATAAATTTTAGATTCATTTATTTATTATGTGAACAGTGCTCTGTCTGTCTGTAGACCCATAGGTCAGAAGAAGGCATCAGATTTAATTATACATGGTTATGGGCCACTATGTAGTTGCTGGGAATTGAACTCAGGACCTCGGAAAAGTATCCAGTGCTCTTAACCTCTGAACCATCTCTCCAGCCCAAGACTGTCTTAATTGTCAATAAGTTTGTGTTTATCATAGCTGGTCATAGTGCAAACCTGTAATCCTAGCAGGCAGGAGGATCAGGAGTTCAAGGTCTTTCACAGCTACGAAGCAGGTTCCAGCTTGTGTAACATGAGACCTTGTCTGATAAAACAATCTCAAAATAAAACAGAGTAATAAAATTAGTATCATCTTTTGGTGGTTTTTCTAATCTTTTTTTTTTTTTTTTTGGTTTTTTGAGACAGGGTTTCTCTGTATAGGTTTTTCTAATCATAATAAAGTTAGAACAAAAGACGGAATACAAAGTGTTTGGTGTGTGTGTGTGGTGTGTAAGTGTGGTATATGTGTATTTGAATATGTGAGTACACATGTGTCCAGGTGTTGTGTGGAGGCCTGAGGTTGATGTTGAGGATCTTCCTCATTCTTCGAGGCAGGGTCTCTCAATCAAATCCAGAGCTTGCTGACATGGCTAGTCTCACCACCCATTTTTGCCCTGGGGATTATCTCTAAATTGAGAGGCTGGGATGACAATAGCAGCCACCACACCCACCCAGCATTAATGTGGATTCAGGGATCCAAATTCTTGTCCCCGTGTTTGTACCATGATCGCTTTAAATTCTCTTGGGAGAAAAAAAAAGCTGCAGGGGTTGGAGCAATGGCTCAGCACTTAAGAGCACACTGTCTGCTTTTCCAGAAGACCTAGGTTCAACTCTCAGGAATTCCATGGTAGCTCACAACTATCTGTAACTCCAGTTCCAGGGATTCCAATGCCCTCTTCTGGCCTTCATGGGCATTGCATACACATGGTGCACATGCAGACAAAAGACCTATACATGTAAAATAAAATAATATATAAAAAAGAAAAGAGAAACACTCTCCACTGTGTGAGACATGTAAGAAAACAGGTATCTGTGCTGGAGAGATGGCTCAGCAGTTAAGAGCACCAATTGTGGCTGGGCAGTGGTGGCGCAGGCCTTTAATCCCAGCACTTGAGAGGCAGAGGCAGGCAGATTTCTGAGTTCGAGGCCAGCCTGGTCTACAGAGTGAGTTCCAGGACAGTTAAGACTATACAAAGAGGGCTGGAGAGATGGCTCAGTGGTTAAGAGCACTGACTGCTCTTGCAGAGGTCCTGAGTTCAAATCCCAGCAACCACATGGTGGCTCACAACCATCCATAATGAGATTGGATGCCCTATTCTGGTGTGTCCGAAGACAGCGACATGAATAAAATAAATAAATAAATCTTAAAAAAAAAAAAAGACTATACAAAGAAACCCTGCCTCGAAAAACAAAAAAAACAAACAAACAAAAAAAAAAAGCACCAATTGTTCTTCCCAGGGTCCTGAGTTCAATTCCTAGCAACCACATGGTGGCTCACAACCATCTCTAATGGGATCTGATGCCCTCTTCTGGTATTATCTGATGACAGCTACAGTGTACCCGTAAATAAATAAACCTTAAAAAAATAAAATAGAAAAAAGTATTTTAAAAAAAAAGAAATATCCTTCATTAAGATTTGGCTGTACTCTTTCCGCCATCTTGGAGCCTGTGGAGTCCTGCTGGGAAGAGGATGTCTAAAAGCAAGTATGTCTGGAAGGCTGTGGTGCAAGGCCCCTTTTGCTGGCTACAAGCGAGGTCTCTGGGACCAAAGAGAGCACATGGCTCTTCTTTTTTTTTTTTTTTTATTAAAGATGTATTTATTTATTTTATTATGAGTACACTGTAGCTGTCTTCAGACACACTAGAAGAGGGCATCCAATCTCTTTATAGATGGTTGTGAGCCACCATGTGGTTGCTGGGATTTGAACTCAGGACCTCTGGAAGAGCAGTTTGTGCTCTTAACCGCTGAGCCATCTCTCCAACCCCAGCACATGGCTCTTCTTAAAATTGAAGGCATTTATGCCCGAGATGAAACAGAGTTCTACTTAGGCAAGAGATGTGCTTGTGTGTACAAAGCAAAAAACAGTACAGTGACTCCTGGAGGCAAACCAAACAAAACCAGAGTGATGGGGGGGGGGGGAGAAGGCCCACGGAAACAGTGGCATGGTTCCTGCCAAATTCAGAAGTAACCTTACAGCAAAGGCCACTGGACACAGAATCCATGTGATGCTGTACCCATCCTGGATTTAAACTAATGAAGAGTAAATAAATAAAAGTAGTTTTGTGCTCTTGTTTAAAAAAAAAAAAGATTTGGCTGTAAACAAGCATAAAGCATTTTCTTATTTAGTGACCGAAGAGGGAAAGTTCAGCCCATTATGGGTGGTACCACCCTGGGCTGGTGTTTTTTTGTTTGTTTGTTTGTTTTTGGTTTTGGTCTTTCGAGACAGGGTTTCTCTGTGTAGCCCTGGCTGTCTTGGAACTCACTCTGTAGCCCAGGCTGGCCTCGAACTTGTAATCCTCCTGCCTCTGCTTCCTTCAGCAAATCCTACCAGAGTGTGCCACCACAACCAGCGTGCTGGTGGTTCTGAAGTTCCATAAGAAAGCAGTCTTAGGGCTAGAGAGATGGCTCAGTGGTTAAGAGCACTGACTGCACTTCCAGAGGTCCTGAGTTCAAATCCCAGCAACCACATGGTGGCTCACAACCATCTGTAATGAGATCTGATGCCCTCTTCTGGTGTGTTTGAAGACAGTTACAGTGTATTCATATATAATAAATAAATAAACCTTTTAAAAAAAAAAAGCAGTCTTAACTGGACAGTGGTGCATGCCTTTAATCCCAGCACTTGGGAGGCAGAGGCAGGTGTGTACCTGTGAGTTCAAGGCCAGCCTGATCTACAGAGCAGTTACATGATAGTCAAGGCCACATAAAAAAATCCTGTCTCATAAAAAAACTAAAAAGGGGCTGGAGAGATGGCCCAGTGGTTACCAGCATGACTGCTCTTCCTAGAGGTCCTGAGTTCAATCCCCAGCAATCACATGGTGGCTCACAACCATCTTTAACAGATTCTGATATATCTAAAGAGAGCTACGTACATTAAATAAATAAAATCTTTAAAAAAGAAAGAAAGAAAGGAAGGAAGAAAGACCTAAAAATAAAAGGAGGGGGGGAGGATAGAAAGGAAAGCAGTCTGAGCAAGCCCCTCTATGGCCTCACCATCAGCTCCTTTCCGGATCTCTAGTGGTCTGAGTTCCTGCATTGGCTTCCCTTAGTGAACCGTGATTCAGGTTATATAAGCCAAATAAATCTGTACCTCCCCAAGCTGCTCCTGGCCACTGTGATGGTTTGAATGAAAATGGCCCCCATAGGCTCTTAAGGTGTGGCACTATTAGGAAGTGTGGCCTTGTTGGAATGAGTGTACTCTTGTCAGAGGAAATGTATCACTGGGGGAAGGCTTTAAGGTTCAGAAGCTCAAGCCAGGCCCAGTGTCGTTATCTTTTCCTGCTGCCTGCCTATCCTGATACAAAACCCTCACCTACTTCTCCTGCACCATGTCTGCCTGTGCACTGCCACACTTCCCACCTTGACAATGATGGACTCACCTCTGAACTGTTAAGCTGG